GTTTTAGTTTTTCTATTTTATTTCAAAAAACCGCATTATGATTATTTTGAAAGGTTGCATCTTCTCGAAAAAATTGCTTTATGGTTATTTGCAAGAGTTGAATCTTTTCGCTAAAACCATTTTTGTCAAGGGTTACGTCTTTTCATTGTAACCGTTTTGTCAAAGGTTGTGTCTTTTCATTATAAATATTTTGTTAAAAGTTGCTTGTTTTTGAAAATAACTGTTAAGTAGTTCTTTTTCGAATTAACCGCTTTATGGTTATTGCTAAAAATTGCATCTTTTCAGAAAAATCGTTTACTCTATATATATATTTTAGATTTTCTGTTTTTTTCAAAAAACTGCATTATGGTTATTTTGAAGGGGTGCATCTTCTAAAAAAAAATCGTTTTATGGTTATCTGCAAGAGTTCCATCTTTTCATTAAAACCGTTTTGTCTAGAGTTGTGTTTTTCCGTTGTAACTGTTTTGTCAAGAGTTGTATTTTTTCATTATCACTATTTCGTCAAAAGTTGCGTTTTTTCGAAAATAACCGCTTTTTGGTTTCCTTTAAGTGTTGCGTCTTTTCAAAAATAAATATTTTTGGGTTGTGATTTTTCGTAAAAAAACTGTTAAGTAGTTATTCTTCGAAGTAACCGCTTTATGGTTATCGTTAAGAGTTGTCTTTTCGGAAAAATCGTTTAGTCTATATATATATATGTTTTAGTTTTTTTTACTGGTGATCATTTTGTTAATTATGGCTATTTTGTTCTATAATTTACTGCATTAGATAGATAAAAACGCCAATCTATTATTTTAAAATTATTTTAGAATATTAATATTTTTACTATTGATGAAGTTCCTAAAATTCTTGATTTGTGTAAAGAATTTTGGATCTCTTTAGACAATGCAGAAATTATTGCGTCTTTTCGAAAAAACTGTTTGTTCTATATATTTGTGTTTTTAACTCTATATTTTTTTTTTTGAACATTTTGTGTATTTTTATATGACTACTAATTTTAAAATTCACTTAAAGTATAACAATGATAAAAACGACATTCTATTATTTTAAAATTATTCAAAAGTATTGAATTTTTTACTATTGTAGAAGTTCCTAAAATTATTGATTTGTGTAACAAATGTTGGAATTATTTATCAAATGCAGAATTGATGGCTAAATTTTAAATTCTATGATGTTTTAATTAATGCATCATAGGGTTATATTTTTTATAAAAAACTATTTTATGGTTATTAAAACATCTAAATGTTGCGTCTGTTCGAAAATTAATTTTATGGTTATTAATGCATCATTTGGTTGCATTTGCTTTTGAAAACACCGTTTTATGGTTATTAAAGCAACTAAAGCTTCCGTTTTTTCGAAAAATTCATTTATAGTTATTGATCCATCATCTGGTCGTGTAGTTTTGAAAAACTGGTTTTATGGTTATTAAAGCTTTATAGGATTGCATATTTTTGAGAAATGTATTTTATTGTTATTAATAAATCCTATGATTGCATCTTTTCAGAAAACCGTTTTATGATTATAAAAACATCTTAGGATTGCGTCTTTTCGAAAAACCCAGTTTATGGTAATTAATGCATTATACAATTGCGTCTTTTCATAAAATCTATTTTATAGTTGTTAAAACATGTAAGGATTGTATTTTTTTGGGAAAGTCTGTTTAATGATTATTAATACATCAGAGGATTACGTTTTTTTTTCAAATAAATTGTTTTATAGTTATTAAAGCATATAAAAGATGCATTTTTTGATTAAATCTATTTTATGGTTATTAATTCATCATATGGTTGCGTCTTTTTGAAAATATTGTTTTATGGTTATTAAAGCAACTAAGTGTCGCGTCTTTTGGTTGCATCTTAAAATTTGTTTTATGGTTGTTAATGAATCGCATCTTTTGGAAAAACATTTTTATGATTATTAAAATATCTTAGGATTGTGTCTTTTAATAAAAAAACTATTTTAATGCATCATATGATTGCGTCTTCTCGGAAAAACTTGTTTTATGGTTATTAATGCATAATAGGTTGTGTCTTCTAAAAAAACTGTTTACTGTTTAACAATGCATCCTAGGGTGTGTCTATCATTATGTGAAAATGTAAGGGTTGCATCCTTTTAAAAAAAATTATGGTTATTTAGACTTTAATTAGGTCTTTTTTTGTAGCTTCTTGTTACGTACATTGCCATGATTTACCTTTTACATTGTATTTTATATTTGTATACATTGTCAATAATAATTGTTTTCAAATGGCAATCCTAGCAAATACATCATAGGGTTGCGTTTTAAAAAACAAATATTTATCTTTCATTAATGTATTATAAGGTTGCTTATTTTTCAAAAAATATGTTTTGTGGTTATTAACGCATAGGGTTGCGTCTTTTTGTGTGTTTACTAAAGTTTTTTATGTTATTCTTTAAATTATGTTAATAATTTATAGTGTTCAGTTTCTATATGATTCATATATGTTTAATTTTTTTATTACATAGTTTTCATATGTCCGATTTGGGTTAACTCGACATGAGAATTGATAATAAACAATGCTTTAAAATCTTTTAAAGATGATTATGAGTTTATGTTCACATGTGTTTAAAGAAATAAATTTTATTTTTAGATATGTTAGCAAAAACTTTTTTTTTTAAAATGTGGTTGGATGTTCTTTACCCCTGCGATTTTTGCGGGGGGTTCGAGTCGTAGTATATATAATTATTAAAATTCCAAAGCATTAAACACTTAAAGCCAAAGAAGATACCATATTAATTGCAAATAAGCCAAAATATTTCAAAAGAGTCCAACCAAGTAGAAAGTCAATACCCGAACCAGCTACACTTTTCTATTAAACCAGAAAACCGGTTAAACCGATAATCCGGTTTTGAAAAGGGTCAACATATCAACCTGGTGCGCTCTTGACTTCCTCATTTCCCAAAAAAGAGTCCCAAAAGAAAAACATAAAACTTCATTTCCCCGTTTTACCCTTACCATGAAACGAAAATAACCTAAAAGACTTATCCATAAGATGCTACGTTATTTACTAAAATACCCTCAAAGCGATAACCGAATTACCAATGAACCTCCCTCTTGTAATTTTACCATTTTTGCCCCTGACTCAGAATCAAAAAGCAAGGAGGTTTAGTGGTAATTCGGTCACTAGCTGAGCTCTTGTTTGGCTTCTCCGGAAGCTGCAATCGCCGGAGAAACGGTGCTGCTAAGAACAGAAGTGATCTGATTGACGATCGAACAAAGGTGGTTGTTGATGGTAGTGACGGTGGAGAGATTCGGTTTCGCGGTTGGTACGTTGCTCGCCAAGACCTGAATCCCGACGGTGAGAAGACACGACGGCGGAGAAAGCGAATTGACGGAAACACCCTCGACATTAACCGGAGTATTCACTGGGACGACGGAGAAACCGAGGGGCAAAAGAGGAATACTAGAAGGATCTTCCCCGTTCATCGTGAGCTGGATCGAGTCGACGTCGACGGCTGAGTATACGATTAAGCTACCGGAGTTATCAATGCAGCTTTCTTGTAGCATCAGCTCTACGTTATGCCATGAATTGCTCGCTACCTGTAAGTAACAAATCACAAATCAAAAATTTGATTCTTGTTGGGATCTTAAAAATTAGGGTTCTTCAATCTGAATTATGGACTTACATTGATTCGAAGAAGAGAGATGCAGTTTCCAGGATGTGAACCATTTGCTATATGAGCAACTTCATGAGGTGAATTACCATTGAACAAAACCTCCAACTTCACACAACAACAACAAAAAAATCGATTTCAATTCTTCAAGATTCAAGTTAGATTCAGATTCTTTGGAATGTGCTCATCTAAAAAACAGAGAAAAGTTTGGGTTTGGTTTACCAGAGAGTGATGATGTTGATGGCGGAGAAGATCGAAGACTTGGAGATGAGAAAATGGAAGCCAAGTGGTTGAGACAGCACAAAGAACAACTCCTGTAGGTTGACCAGGTTCGCACATTTTCCTCGTAGTGATCCTTACTGTGTCCTTGTTTGTCTCGGACAATGCGGTCCAAGATTGTCCGTAAGAAGTGCTTATATTCACACTGAATGTTCTCACCATCCGCTGCGATAACCTCATTATGTTCCTCCTAGCTTCTGCAGATGAAATCACTGCAAAAGAAAAAAGAAACTGAGATTTAGGGGTTTTACGGTTTAGTGTTTTAAGAATTTTAGGGATATGGTCTAAGACTACTAGCCTCCAAGATCAGTTATGTTTCTAGCCATTAGACTAGCGACCCTCTCGCACTGTCTCTGCAACACGTCGAGCCAACGGTTAGCTCCAAAAGCCATTCCGCTTCCTACGTACTCGGCGAATGTCTCGTGCACATGTTTCTCGTCTACTTCCACGTGCTCCACCCACTTGACCTGTGAGTATCCATTAGGCATGTCTTGAATGATGCAGCCTGAAGTTCTTCTTTTATACTCATGAGGAGTATTAGCATTCAGTGGCTGGATTTGATCATGGAAGCTATCGATGGGGAAATCTACGATTGCCCAGTTTCCATCTTCTGCGTTTTGTTCCACATACCGTAAAAAATAAGCTTCTCGAGTTGGAACCAATGGAGATAATACCTGTAACTCTGCATACATCTTGTAAACCATAACAACATAGATTCCATTAGAAGTTGTTACCATTTGCACCGTTTGTTCTCCAACTTTCCAAATCAAAGTACTAAAATTACCAGTAGAAGAGAGCCACTGGCTCCAGAAACTCCAGATGAAATTATCTGAATTGTTTTCGCCCTAGCCACGATTGAACAGAACATCTCCGACCACTTATCCTACAAAACAAAAATCGCGAAATCAATCGAGAATTGGTTTAAGTGAAAGACAGTTTTCCGGAAAGTTTACTACTTACAGCGTTTATAAACGCGTCAACTAGCGTTATGCTGTTCATGATAACAACCGCGTTTGCTTTTGAAGCTTCTCTACGAAAATCTCCTTTGTTGTTGTTATGATTCTCTATCGGCCATGGGAACAATCTCATGTACTCTTCCTCATTCAGACACAAAATCTCGCTGCCAATCTTGTCAGACTTCTTTTTAATCCACAAAGGCTCATCTGTGTTACACATTTTAGTCAATTCTTGAACACAAGAAACAGCAAATTCCATGGCGATAACTTTTTCTTTATCCCCAAGTAACAGACTGTTGTTGTTGTTAGTTTGATCAGGGAAGAAACAAGCAGTGTCTTGTGGAGGAAGCATCATCATGTCTGGATGTTCATGAAAATTCCCAGCGTATACGCTCATGTCGAGCTCCAATGAAGGTTGATGATGATGTGGAAGTGAAGCAGAATGATTCATCAACGGTTGAGATGCTGCCATGGATTGCAAAGGACGACCAGTGTATCTCGAAGCAATGGAGCATAGACGATCAAGCTGTGGAATCCACAATCAATGTGTTAGGGCTTCCACTTTAAAACTGATTCGGTCCAAATGACACAACCGATAATGATTTTTTGTAATATAAATCGTTAGATCCATTTTCTCCCAAACCTAACGAACAAACCCCAAATAGAATTGGATTCATTTTTTATTCAATAGAATTGACACTATATAAGAAGATTAGGCAGTTAGGCCTTTATTGTTTGTTGCATTTTACTAGTGTATATATATAATGTTTTCAAATGGTTTTAAAATCTGAACCATATTAAGCAAAATTCATATGTGAAGTGTAAATATAAACGTTACATACAAATGGATAGAGAACTTTTCTTTAAAAGATTACCAAATACTTGTTTTATATTTGAAAAGGTGCAACTTTTTTTCATGTAAAAGCAAAAACACAATTTATGTTTGAAACCAATTAATCAAAAGGTTAGGGATTAATTGGAGTTACCTCTTCACGGAGGCGACAATTCTCGATGTGGAGTTCGTTGAAAGGAATCTCACCAACGACGGTTGGGCCACCGCAAGAAGGACACGAGAGACACCGTAGCTCCGCCTGAAGATGGCAATTCTCCGTCTTAAGGCTCTCGTTCTCTGCCCTTAACATCACATTCTCTGTTCTGTCTTGTTGAGCCTATAATTGATTCATCACATCAAATATATATTAACTATTTTTTCATAATAGATAATCTTTTATTAGAAGATATATACATGTAGAGCATTTTATATTATTATAAGTATTATGAATGTACTTTCTCACATATATACTTTAACCATTAGAATTTAAGTTTCATAATTTTCTTCATTATAATATAGAGCAATCTAAATTAGTTAATTACCTTCATTTGGGTACGCCTGTTTTGGAACCAAAACTTAACTTGTCGAGCATTGAGACCAAGTTCTTGACTTAATCTCTTTCTTTGTTTGTCGTCTGGATGAGGGTTTTCTTTAAATAATCTACAAATTTTAAATATAATCATTAGATTGATGTACACAAAACTATCTAAAATCAAACTTTGTTTGATATTGGTAGACAAATTAAATCAAACTTATTTCGTTCAGATGGTTTTACGTTTTTTCATATGAAGAACATCATACCAAAACAGGAAAAACAAAATTGTACCCTAATATCACTTTTTGAGAATTAGTTTATATAATAATTAGTAAAGATAAATTCAGATAAAACAAAAAAAATGATTTCAAACCCTAACTAAAACCATATAGAACCACACATAGAACTAGATTCATTTTCATGTTTATTTATACCTTTTTAAACCAAGAAATCCAAAAATCTTTAAACCGAAAAACCTTTCAAATCAAGAACACGTTTCAAAATATTTTAATCTACAGAAAAATCTATTTTAAACTAAACTAGAACCAAAACTAATCAAGAAAATAAAAATCCAAAAAATCTTACGCTTCCATTTCTTGGATCTGATGATTAGTGTGTCTATGGTAACGTTTCTTCTTAGCCGGAGGAGGTTGCTCTTCATCATCATGAAGCTCATTAACATCAAACTCATTTCCGGATTTCGGATCTTCTGCTTGTTCACTACCCGACCCTAATGACCCACCCACCGACCCGGTTTCCATCATTTCCTCTACTGTTTTATCTCCCATCATCATCATCATACTCATCATCCCATGCTCCTCCTTCTATATAATATATAAACTCTTCTTTATAACAAACTATAAAATACAACAACAAAAAAAGGAGAAAGATTTGAGTAGAAAACTTGACTAACCGGGATAATGGAGGAAAATGAATTGAAAGGGATGAAATTAAAGTTAGGGTTTTGGACTGTTGCCGGAGAAGAAGAGGAAGAAGGCATCGGCGGCGAAGCAAATCTGTTGTTTGAAGTCATCACATTACCTTCTCCGATTGTCAACATCACTTGCAACAAAAAAAGAAACCCTAATATGATCACAAAAGATCTGAGTTAGGTTTTTTTCTTTGAAATCTAGAAGAAGTTAAAGATTCCAAAAGAAAGAAAATCAGTGCATGGCAATGCAAAATATATTTGTTGAAATCTTAGAATAAAAAAAAAAAGAGCATGGAAATGAAGATTTAATTACCAGAGATGACAGCTAGATCGTTTCATAGTTTCAGAAAATATTTCAAAATTAAATACACATAAAAAAACGTAACTGATGAAATAAAAAAAATTTATTGCTCATGAAATCTTTTTAAATACTATATTTTTAAGAAAAAACAGGTCCAACAAATAAAAATAATTAAAACTCTATCTGAACATTCATGAGAAAACAAAGATTCGAGAAGAAACATTCATAAGAAAATATTTTAAAAAATTATGACAAAAACCA